AGGATGAATAGCCAAAATATAGAAATCATCCAGGACTTCAAAGAAGAGCTGGAGTCTTTATTTCAGTTCTGTTCAAGTAAAATACATTGCTCCTGTTTAAATACATTGCTCCGGCTGTTACTAATCCTGGACAACCTGGTCTCAAGAGATCCTGCAATTCGACTACTCCGGGACAGCCTAATCAGAGATCCCGCTACCGGACCATCCATGCACACCCGCATATCTGCCAGACGATGACACTGGTAAGGTAATGCCTGTACGTGCAGGCATTGCGTAATTTATATACGCAGCCATGCTGCAGAAGATTGTCGTGTCTCTTTGTTGACATCCAAATCTAAATTAGCCCCCTTTAAGACGAAGACTCTTCCCCGACTTGATTTGCGCGCCTCATTTTCTCGCAGATCTTAGTCATCAAATCAGAAATCTTATAAGATTACCGATTGAACGGACGGCTCTTTGGTCTGATTCTGAAGTCACGCTTCATTGGATTCGATCACATCTTTCGTCTTTGGCAACAGTTGCAGAGCATGCCTTTCTTTTAACCTAATAAGTTCATTGTGTATTGTGCTCCGTAAAAAAAACAACTACAAACACCGCGTCCTCAAGTAGCGGCTGCAGGACCTCTGCCTCCACTGGTACAAGCCGTGCCGCACTGGAGCCCATTGGAAAAGGCCCAAAACCACCAATGATGCTTTTCTGCCCATCCCGGTCGCTAAATATGTCACTCAGAGCTCTTCCACGGCAGCTGCGTCTTGCAGCGCTCATTGCAAGTAAAATCCTGCTCTGCGCCTCCTAAGGAGCAAAGGAGCCAGCTTTCCAGCAACCGCTGGTAAAATGGCAAACGGCTGAAACAAAAAAACGGCGATGAACAACGCTAATGGCCGGAGCCTTCAAAATAGGGAAAGTACCCACTAAAAACGGGAAGACCAGCAAGGCAGGTGAAAGTTCCACTGCTCCCAGTGTCTCCTTGAACAATGGGAAAAGATATGCTTCACTTGCGACCTAGAAAGATGACTCTGACATCGAAGACGACGAGATGGAAATTGCCGACGAGGCTCCGCTAGCTCAAGCCGAACCTCAAGCTGTAAAAAAGGTCCCCAAGCCCAAGCCACAGCTCGGTCTTCCCAATCACCGCAAATTATGGCTGCCCAGATGCGTCTCGGATCGTGGAATGCTCGCAGCATCATACAAAACGCAAACGAGCTTCAAATATTTCTGAGAAAACATGAAATAGACATCATGCTTGTCTCTGAAATGAAACTACACGCCGGCCTTTACTTCGCCATGGAGGGATATGTTTGCTACCGGGCGGATCACCAGCAGATCGACTACAACTACATCAGATGACCTCCAGCGCCACACAGATGGCTGCTATTAATATATATTATGTTCAGATGTCAAACCAATGGAGTTATTATATTATATATTGTTATTATTATCATGGTAAACTGATGGAGTTATAGTTAATTATTAAGCTAAGGGAACATATTGCAGTTTAAAATATATTAAAACCAATCATTTAAAAGATGGAGCGAATAGGCTTAAGTAGATTTTTTTCGGCGTACGGCGAAAAGGGCGGAAAGGGTTGTAAGAAGGCGAGGCTGATCAGCAGCTTCACTTTTGATTTGGCGAGAGACATAGAAAAGGAATCGCGAAGTTACCGCGAGGTTAGGGATAGATAGTAAACAATTGATGGTGCAGTAGGGCCAGTGTTCTAGATTAAATAAAAGGGTGTTACTACAATTGAAGTGTTTTGTGTTCTCCGAGTAAAAGTTACTTATTTTCAGCAACTCTTCACTTAGCAGTGGAAAGACCGAGCAGGGACACGAGGCATGATTGGGCGTAGCATTAACGTGGCCTAAAGACCCACGAAAGTGCCACCAGAGTGTAGTTAGTACCCAAAAGACAGTGTCAAGTGCAAAGTTAGCTGCCCGCAGCATATAAATGGGAAGCAGCAAAGTCCCACTGGGGTGTCGGCGGCCGTCGCACATGTGCAGTTAGGCAAGCGGCGCGAAATCAGGTGGACAGATAGACAAGCAGAGGCCCGAAAACTGCGAAAAGTTCCCGCTGAGCAAGCGTATTCGTTTAAGAGCGCTAACGTGTGCGCTCACGCACATGCGGGACGCGTCGAAATTGCACTGTAAGTTCCAAGTGATAAACGGCTCCGGCATTAATTGAACGTTGCCTTCTGGTGGTGAAGATTTCTCTTTATATACAACAACAAAATAACAAAGTGAGAGTGGCTAGTGAGCGTGGCTAGTGAGCGTGAACATAGTACCACGGTAAAAGAGTGGACGAGTGCAGCGAAAAGGTAGGCCAGTACGCAGCGTCACTTTTTAGGGTGGTCAACTAAAGTGCGACTTGATTTTTTTTTTTGTTTTGTGGCTCGGGGAAAAAAAATATTAAATTAAGATAATTAAAAACGAAATAAATAAAAATAATTAACCCTTTCGACCCTAACTTTTTTCCAGTGGCTTGAAATTTTTTTTTTTTTTTTTAATCAATTTATTTAAGAAGTATTTATCTAAAATTTCATGTAGCCACGCCCATCCGCTTGGGCGCTACCGGAAGTTGCTTATAAGCAACGTTGGGCAATGGTGGTATATAAAAAACTTTTATTTTTAATGAAAACCACGAACAATTTTATTTGCAAATTTTAAGATATTAAGTATGATAGGACAAAAAACAGTTTTTATTGTTATTACAGTAAAGATGTACCTTACACTTAAGGCATTTGGACATTGGAGTTCCTGTCTTGCCAAACCTGCAACGCCCTTTTTCTCCAAATACAACCCAATGTTCCACTTTATCGTAACGCCTTGTGTCTGAAGGATTCAGCTGGAACCTGTACTTTTTTGTCTGTTGCGAAGACACAATCGCAGGACTTGCAACATCAATGTAAGCTTTTTCTTTTGGGCTCCAACGCTTGCACATTCCGACAGGTGGATGATCTACACATGAAGATATAAGTTGAACTGTCTTATTGTCAATCCCCTTCAAACATACTATATTATAATTGATTTCACATTTCAAATCGAAAGATCCTCTTCCTCGCTTTTTGAGTTCTGTATCTGACAGTAACTGGCAATTGGTAATTCGATTTTTATGAACAGTACCTGTAGAAAATATGCCAATTTCCTTCAAAGAAATTAGAAGGCTTACTGACGTAAGCCAGTTATCGAAATATAGCTTAAAGTTTTTATGTTTGGGAAGACCTTTTGTCAAATATAAAACTGCATCTGAAGATATTCCCAATCCATATGAAGGGCAGGTGCCTTCCCCAACATACAGTGTAAAATCATATAGTAATCCAGATGTTCCAGCACGCGTAAACATTTTTAGACCCCATTTGTGGGGTTTAGCTGGGTTGTATTGTTTGTAAGTTGATCGACCTTTGAACGCAATTATTTGTTCATCGACGCTTTGATGTTATTCCTGAGGAAGTGTACTGAAGTTTTTTTTGAGGATGTTTAGTAAGGGGCGTATCTAGTGCAGCTTGTCGTAGTTTAAATCTCCTTTTTTAGGTTGTTTGCTATTTTCATTAAAATGTAAGCATTGCTTAATTTTTTCAAATCTACTGCGTGGCATTGCATCTGTTATAGCCGTAAGCTTTAAATTTTGCGACCATGTCATTTTGAATTGTGGCAATTTTAAAACACCTAAATATAACAGAATTTTAATATAACGGTTTATATCCCCTCTAGTACATTTAAGCTCTATGCCAAACTTTTGCAGTCCATATAAATCAGTTTGCTGTGTGATCAAATCAATAGCTGGAGTATCAAAAAAGGTGTAGAAATAGTCTACTGGTGTCATCACCTTCTCAACTTTCAAAGTAGTGCAATCGCGTTTGCGTTTATCCGCATTTAAATTGTCAAGAAGGCTGATTTCTATAGTTTCTCCTCTTTCCACGATTCCTTCAAAATTCATCTCCAACACAGCAGAAATGTCTTCAAGCTCATCTTCACTTTCTGCATCACTAGAGACATCCCAATCAAAGTCTAAAATTCGTCGTCTTTTGACAAACCTTTCTCTTGCTGTCTCATATCTAAACAAAAATAAATTTCTAACCTCAATTGCCCAATGTTGCCCACAAGCAACTTAATAACTTTAAAAATAACTCTCCTGATAACTATTTAATGAAAATCCAATCTGAGTTTAACACTTTAAAGATTAATCTTTTCTGAAAACTATTGCATATATACACTTTTAGTTTTTGTTATTATTAAATAAAAATTACTCATTTTAATACCTGTTCCGAATTTAACAAATATATTTTCGCCGACACAACTGCAGTCAATTTAACATAACTTCGCCAATTGGTCTCCAAATAAGCTTTCTTTGCATTATATTTTGAGTAGACACATACAAGTTCCGTTATCATAACGGATCAGCAGACAAGAATAAGGAGAGCGCTTACCGTTAGCCGTTAAAGAGCCGAAATTGCTTTCAAGCAACGTTGGGGTCGAATGGGTTAAAATAAAATAATCAAAAACGAGCTGAATAAGAACAATTAAAATAAAATAATAAAAAACGAAATATATAAATTAATTAAAATAAGTTAATTAAAAACGAGATAAACTAAAAATAACATAAAAGGAAAATAATAAAAATTTAAATATAAATAAAATATTTAGAAATAAAAAAATTAAAGCTAAAATCAAAATTAAGTAATCAAAACAAGACGAACAATAAGGACAGACTACCTTACGGAAATAAAAGCGCAACCCAAAAAGAAGGGAAGGGTGGCTGGTTCCAACGGGCAGGTGGATCAACCTCGCACCTCAGAAGGTGTCGTGCTAGCAGGTGACCTAGTCGCGGGGGAATACCCGGCCGCGGGAGTTAGTCACGAGGCTAGTAGTGGTGGAGGGTCTGGGGAGGTGAGTCCAAACAGCGAGGACGTCTGGCCAGAAGACCTGGATTCAAGCCTGCAGGTGCTTCTGGAGAGTTGTCGCGATTCGAGGGGCTGAAGGGTGTGTCCCACATAGCCAGCCATTGTGATGAAGGACAACGAGCCCATCAAGCAGAGGTACTACCCGAGGAACCCGGCGATGCAGCGAGTCATCGACGAGCAGGTGGAGGAATTGTTCCGGACGGGAGCCATCGAGCCGTTCCGGCACGCACGCTACATATCGACGCTGGATCTGAAGCAAGGATATTTGCAGATACCCATGGAACAAGGGAGCAGGCAGTATACCGCAATTACGGTCCCAGCACGGGGACTATACCAGTGGAAGGTGATGCCCTTCGGTCTGCAATCGGCTTGCGCCACGTTCCAGAGGGCACTGGATTCGGTGATAGGGCCGAACATGAAGCCCCACGCTTTCGCCTATCTGGACGACATCATCGTCATAGGCGCGAACAAGGAGCAGCAATTAGCCAACCTGGAAGAAGTGTTCCGACGGCTGAGGGAAGTGAGCCTGAGGATTAACAAGGAGAAATGCCGGTTCTTCCGGAAGGAGCTGGTGAATTTGGGAAACATGGTGAGTGGCGAAGGAATCCGCACGGACCCTGCAATGGTGCTCGCGATTGTCAGGCTGACCGCCCTATCGAATTGTAAGGAATTGCGAGAATGGCTGGGGATGGTCTCATGTTATCGACGCTTCGTGCCCAGTTTTTCCTTGGTGGTGCAGCCGATGACCGCTCTCCTGAAAGAGGGGAAGGCATGGTCGTGGAGTGTAGAGCAACAGCATTCGTTGGAAGAACTTAAGAAGCGACTCACGGACGATCCTCGGCTGCCCGGATTTCAGCAAGAAAATCGTGCTGCAAACGGACGCGAGCGATCATGGCCTCGGCGCCGTCCTTACACAACCCATCGACGAGGAGGAGCGAGTCATTGCGTCCGGCATTAGGAAGCTCCTGAAGTCGGAGATCAACTTTTCAGCCACGGTGAAAGAATGTCTGGCTATAGTTTGGTTAATCTGCAAGTTGAGGTGCTATTCGGAGGCTTCCAGGTTCGACGTCATTACCGACCACATGGCACTCAAATGGCTCAACTCAACAGAGAGTCCATCTGGAAGGATTGCTCGATGGGCCTTAGAGTTACAGCAGTTCCAGTTTGACGTTCAGTACCGGCGAGGGAAGGCCGTGGAAGAGCAGCATCCCTGCGGATGGACCGCATTGCATGCTAGAAAAACTCACTAAGGAGCCAGAGAAGTACCTAGGAACGGACAAATCTACCACCAGCTCGGACTCAGAGCCGACGACGAGGACTACGTACCGTGAAAATTGTGTGTCGCCGGCAATCATAGGAATGTTCCGGGACGCCGCACGACATTTGAGGCTGCGAGGTGTGTCAAAAACTTAAAGTAGAACAGGTGAGGCCGGCAGGACGAATGCTGACGCGCCAGGTGACGGAACCTTGGTCCATCCTATGCGCCGACTTCGTGGGCCACCTACCACGCTCGAAGCACGAAAGACTGTGCTGCTGGTATTCCACGATGCGTTTAGCAAGTGGGTGGAACTGGTCCCCTTGAGTAAAGCAATGGCAGAAGTCTTACAGAGAGCGTTCCTAGAACGGATACTGTAGTGTGTATATGCATTAAATAACACCCTGTATTTAAATATATAAGTATGCGACACTTTGTTGCATACAATAACAAACATAAAGCGAAAAAGGGCAGAGCCGCTTGGGTTTATTGAGTCAGGCTCATATTATGCAGCGCGGACCGCTAGTACTCTAGCTGGCCGTTTAGCTGACGGCGCATATCCCACGCTTGGCTTATATATCAAGAGTACCATATATGTACTCACTAATGCATGCATGTACTCAATTATGCCCTACGTCTTAGGTTTTGAAGCGGACAGAGTTCCGAATTAAGAACTTTCCAAAAATGATTATAAACCATCACTGACGTGCATTGAACTTTTTTCTACAATACTCTGTCGATTCGGAGTCCCTCGGAAGTTTGTATACGAAAATGGAGTGCAGTTCACAAGCCGGACATTCTAGGCTTTCTTGTCTTCTATCGGGGTAGAGGTGCAATACACGGCGCCGTATTGCCCTCAGGATAACCCCACCGAGCGGACGAATCGGACGGTCAAGACGATGATCGCCCAGTTCATCGAAGAACATCAGAGCTCGTGGGATGAGATGCCACCCGAAATAGCGTTGGCCGTGAACACGAGTTTGGCCGACTTGACCGGATTTTCACCCGCTTTCTTGATGCAAGGTCGCGAGCCTCGTCTCCCCATTGCCTTATACGACGAGGTTACGTCTGAGTCCGCCACATTTCAGCAAACGCAAGGGGAAAAGGCCGTGCGTCTGAGAGAGGTGTATAACATCGTCCGTCACAACCTGCAGAGTGCTTTCCAGGACTAGGGGTGGCACTACAAGTTGCGTTGAAGAGAATGGCGGCCAAAAGTGAACGAGCATCAGTTGTCAAAGGCCGCCGACGGGTTCGCGGCAAAGTTAGCGCTGAAGATTGGCGGCCCCAACAGGGTCGCGAAATTCGTGTCGCCCAATATCGTGCGCTTGGCGCTCAATGGCAAACGGAAGAGGCGGGCAGTTAACGTTGGCCAACTAAAGATCTAACACGGGTCACGCGAAGAAGACCCCTGTGAAGACGGGAGGCCGAGAGGCTACAACTCGGATGCAGGAGATTAAGAAAATTTTATCAACTAGTAGGCTAAGTAGTTATAAAGAAGGTCATTTGTAAGCTACACCATAAGAGGTTGCAGAAGCTAAGAAATGGAATTATTAACGTCCCGTCCCCCGTTAACCACGAGGCAAGAGGGGTCACAATTACAAGGGCAGTAGCCATACCGCCTAACATACGCGAATGCAAAGTGGAACTATTATATTATAGACTTCTGGCACTGTTCAGATGTCAAACCAATGGAGTTATTAAATTATTAATTGTTATTATTATCATAATAAACTAATTGAATTATAATCTAATTATGAAGATAAGGGAAAATATTGGAGTCTAAAATATATTAAAACCAATCATTTAAGAGAACAAGAGAAGAGGTTTTAAGTTAAGAGAGACCGATTACGAATTAAATATAATCATAGGCAACTACGATTCCTAAAAATGTAAATGGGAGGAGCGGCGGAGCGTATAGGCTTAAGTATATAGTTTTTGCCGCACAGCGAAAAGGACGAAAACGGTCGTAAGAAGGCGAGGCTGATCAGCAGCACTTTCTTTTTTGATTTGGCGAGCGTAAGTACTAGACGTGTGGACGCAATGACGAGAGACATAGAAAAGGAATCGTGAAGTGACCGCGAGGTTAGGGATAGGTAGTCAAGAATTGTCGGTGCAGTAGAGCCAGTGCTCTAAATTAAATAAAAGGGTGTTACTACAATTGAAGTGCTTTGTGTTCTCCTTTTTTTGTTGTATTCTGTGCCGAGTAAGAGTCAGCTAATTTCAGAAACTCTTAACTTAGCAGTGGAACGACCCCAGCAGCACCCAGCATACTGACCAACCCTTGCCCTAGCCGCGGCGGAGAGATCATAGCGGTTCTGAGTTTTACGACCCCGGCTTAAAACATTACTTTACAACCTGAAGCTGCAGTGTATCTACCACCAAATCTACCCTGGAGCTGAGCTGGATTCGATTCTCTCCTTGATCAGCTTGGTCATAAATTCATCGTTGGAGGCGACTTCAATGCCAAACACAGGCAACAGAGGCATTGCGCTGCATGATGTGCGCACCAGCTGCTCAGCCCAGGTCTTGGCCATCGGGAGACCTACTCACTTCTCGTGCAAAAGGTAAAGTACTCCTTCGTGCATTGACTTCTTTATACACAATGGTATCCCCAACAGCGTAATATCAGTTCACGAAGACTATGAGCTGTCATCCGACCATCTACCACTCCTTGCAACGTTCCCTCCGTCTGTTCAAAGGACCCCAAAAAAGCGAAGGCTTGTCACCCTCCAGTCGGACATACAACGCTTCAAAGCTGAACTGCATAGCATTATAGATATAAACATGCCGATCTTAACATCCGAGGATACCCACGCTGCAGTTCAAACCCTGCTGGACCAAGTACATACCGCGGCTGCCAACGCTGTGCCAACACAAATGTCGTCTACGCCTACAAGCCAATTTACAAGGACGCTTCCCCCCATCGTTGAAGGCTTTCTTGCCCTGAAAAAGCGAGGAGGGAGTACGTCCGTAACCAGGACTCCAGAATCGACAGGATTTATCGCCGTATCGCCAACAGGGTCAGGAAGGAGTTAACTTTACTGAGAAGAAATGCCACAGACACCATACTGGAGGAAGCAACGGCAGACGAGAGCTCCAAATTTGCGCTGTGGAAACTTACCAGTCGATACAAGCGGCAAGCTGCGCAAAAGTTCCCCGTTCGACATCCCGATTGCACGCGGGCCAGATCGTCAATGGACAGAGCCGAAGCCCTCGCCTGCAACCTGGAGGAGCGTTTCAAGCCGTTTGAGATCGCATCGCATAGAAGGATACAGCGAGTCGCGCACCTCCGTGTGGCTCCGCTCCAAATGTCACACCTGTATCACCAATAACCTTCCAAGAAGTGAAACAGGAGATAAAGAGCCTTAAAAACCACAAAGCCCCTGGGGAAGATCGGTTGGACAACCAGACAATTAGGTTACTCCTATAAGGGGCGGTTCTTTTTCTCGTCGCCATTTTACATGCAGCTCTTCGGTTAGGCCACTTTCCAGGCACATACCATCATGTTGCACAAGAGCGAAAAGCCTAATCAACTAGAATCGTATCGCCCCATCAGCGTCCTGCCTGCCTATGGCAAGATTCGGGAAAGGTGCATCCGTAGAAGGATCTTGGATACCCCGGAAATAAAACGCTTAATCCCGAAGTTCGAAGTTTGGGTTTCGACTCAATGGTCTTGTAGGTGGAATATCTCAGTGAACCCTCAAAAATGTGCTACGGTCACTCACACCCTGCGCAGGAACTCCTGCCCCGTACTTTTTCTCCAAGGCAAGCTCTTAGAGCAGGTGCGTGGCCATAAATACCTAGGGATCACACTCGACAGACGACTTACGTTAAAAAAACATGTCACCGAGGTAACCAACAACTTGAGAAGCAAAAGGTAGTCCTTGCCCCTGCGTGGCGATATGGGCGAAGACGCACCTAAATAAACTTCGCATCATCCACGCCAAGACCTTGCGAAAAATCTTTGGAGCCGTATGGTATATTCGCACACGAGACATCGCAAAGGACCTTAAGGTTGGTATGGTGGGAGACGTTATCAACAAACAAGCAGCAAGCTAACTATTTAAGCTCCGTAACTACCCTAACGTCCTGGCAAGGAACCTGCTAAGGAGGCGAAGATGAAGGAGGCTTAAAAAGACATATCCTATAGACCTGGCCAAACGCCGCATTTTAACACCGAAAAAAAAGCAACATTTGTGGCGAATCGAATCCAAGAAATTACAGAGAAAGCCGAATGGCACCATGTAAATACAAAGCAAAACTCAGCAGATATCGTTTCAAGAGGCTGCGATGCTGCTAATGAGTTACTTGCGTCGATGTGGTGTGATGGACCTTCATTTTTTAAGAAACCAAGAGAATCCTGTCCGTTTATCCCGTGCACTCGTGAGTCTTCGTTGCGAGCTCGAATCGAGGAGGACTCGGACGCAATTCATGAATTCGCATCAAAACGCGGATGCGAATTTGCGGTCATACCGCCAAGAGCTCCGAACTTCGGGGGTCTTTGGGAGTTAGGTGTTAAGTCTGCAAAGCACTTTGTAGTGTGTATATACCTGAAATGAACACCTTGTCCTTAAATATAAAGCACTTTGTTTCATACAATAACAATTAAACATTAAACAAGCCCAGAGCCACTTTATGTATTGGCTCTGGCTCATATTACGCAGCGCGGTTCACTAGCCTCTCTAGCTGACCGTTTATGCTAACGCTGCATATCCCACGCTCCGTCTGGAGCGCATTCCATGAGCAACATATATATACTCATATGCAAGCTACTCATTCTCCCTCTCTTTGTTGCTGTTAACCAAAAACTGCATAAGTATATACATGTACCCATAGGCTAGGCATGAATCTTTAAATTGAAATATAGACATTCTCAGTATGAGCATGAACAAGCACTGACGTGCATCTAATTATTTATTTAAACGAAACCAAAAGGGTTATTACATGGCGATCGTGCAGTAGGTTTTAAATAGACCTGGACAGTGCAAAAACAATTAAAAGAATGTTACAACAAGCAAAATGGGAAAAATAAGGAATCCCAATATAAGTTAATCTATTGCAAAATCTAAGCAACAACAAAAGCAGCAGTATCAATACCAGCATCAACAACACCAGTAGCAGCGGCAACAAAAGAAGCTAAGCAGCCACAAGCTAAAGCGCATCGGCCAACTAGCTACAACACACCAGCACATAAAACAAGTTCGAAGTACAATGAACACAAATATAAACGTCTTGTCTATGTCTAGACAACAACAATCAAAGCAAATTCCAAGTGGAAAAAAAAGAGAAATAATAAATAAAATCAACTTCTCAATAAACAATAGTTGCGAGCAGCGGAATGGAATTGACCTGTGCGATGACCAGCACCGGCTCCGCCTGAGCCCACAGGTCCCAGACAACGGTAACAAAAAAAAATTAAGAAAGAAAAAACTTTAAACCATCAAAGTGGAATCTTTCATTTTCGAGGATACAAAACAAAAAAAATTAAGAAAGAAAAATCTTTAAACCATCAAAGTGGATTCTTTCAATTTCGAGGATACTGCTCTTGTTGAGCAAAGGGATGCACCGAGCCTGGCTGAGCCTTTAAAGGTGTATCCAAACGATGGATACCGCCCCCTCACATTAGCTGAGTACAGGGAAGACAACAGAAGAAACCACCTAAATAGACAAAACGTGGTGGACGAATAAGGAAACTCCTCCAGCGAAGAATACTGGAACTGGATCTTCAAAAAACCAACGAGGAAGACTGACAACGCTGCCAAGAGCGTATCGACGATTTAAATAAGCATCTTCGCACTGGTGCGAAGTAACGCAAAAAAAGGGCTGCAGAAATGCGAATGCCACACTTTGCCTTTAGTTTAAATTCTCACCCACAAGTTGAAGCACCCTCAAAGTGCAACTTGGAAACTACTAACCTCTGCTAGGCTGTATACTAAAACCATATGATTGGCATAGAATTATATAACGAACAACTTGTAAGCCAATCGTTTGCAAAGCTATCACGACTTTTTGGTTTATACCGAACGAATCTATAATTGCATGCATAGATAGATTTACTTTTAACCAAAATTTCAAAATGGGTTGGTTTGGTTCTGACGACATTCAGACAAAAGATAATACAGCCAATTTAGTTAATAACGTCAAGATTGTAGACCACACAGACGATATCCGC